GGAGCAGGTTGGAAATGATGTGGCTTGGATTCCCAGGTGTTCTCCCTCACACCAGACCATCTCAGCACTGGACAGAAATCTAGGTGGGAAGAGAGTGAGGGCAGGGGCCAGTTTTGGGAGTAGGGACAAGCTGTCCTATATCACCACCCTGAAGCACAGAATTCTAAGGCATCAGAAATTTCTAAATTCAATCTTCACTTTCTGTATAGTTAGACAGATATATTTGTCAAGGTATGTGAATAAAACATTATATTTAACAGTTTGTAGCTTGATTCATAACTTTGATGGATGATATATAGCTCTCTGTTTGTACTTTTGCCCTGGGCAAGTAAGTAAATTACCACCCAGGTTTATAAGGGCTGTGATCCGAGGTACATGATACACAGTTGAAGCCCAGAGGAGGGCCTTGGCCTGCCTGGGACAGGTGGTCTTTGATAACAATGACACTAGAATAAAAGTTCATGGCTAAAGGACCACTACTATAAATTGAATTCACTTAAGGCAGTAGAAAGGCAAGAGGGCTATTCTGGCATCTAGATGCTGGGCTAGGGACCCCGTAAGTAATGCAACAAAACACTTACCTCTCTGCACTCATATTTGCAAGCATGGAGCACACTTTGCCACACTCTCCACCTGCTTCAGAAGGATCCCTTAACACTGTAAGGACTCAGGCTTGGATCTGGCCTTTCACCAACCCTAGCTCCTTAAAACTCCCATCAGCGTGATATTGGCTGGTGGTGAAGTGAGTGGACTCTGGCATAGACATTGGCTTCATTGCCAGGTTTCCTCCTTAGGTCTCTGTTTCGTGTCTGATTACAGTAGTACTAATGAGGGGCCTTAGGAAGATGACGAGAGGATATTTATAAAAGATATAACGCACTGAGTGGAACACCAGTTCTTATGAACTTCATTTACAGGTGGGACACTAAGGTGGCTAGGTGAGGTCATGTTGCTTAAAGACTACATTTAGTTTTAGGATAGAGCTATGGTTCACTTTCATTCCAAGAAGCATACTCTTTCCTACTGTCACATGGCCTTTCACCAACAAGCCTTTCTCCAGCACAACGATAAATTTGTTTGCTCTTTCATGTGGGGAGCAGTAGGGGAAAGGCTGGAAATAATCCCCAGTGTAAATCTGATTTGTAACAAGGGTTGTGCCTTGGTCAGGGTGGGTGGGGAAGGAAAAGCACAGCTCTTTGGCTCTTCCTGGAGTTTGCATTTCAAGGCCTTTGGTCTCAAAATGCACCTGAGTCTGTGACAGGCTTCTGAAACTAGAGTTGTAGTGACAGAGCAGGGGATTTTGTCCCTCTCTTCAGCCTCCTTCCCTGTCCCCTCCCCTTCCACATAGAACACCATCCTGATTCTAGAAGCCAAGTCAGGTGTCTTCTTTCAGAGGGAACTCTTCTGTATTCCCAGACCCAGATCTTCCCAGTGAAGTTTGCTGGCTCAAACTTCAGAGTTCCTCCTGGACCATCCTAGCTAAAATGGCTTTTCTGCTACCACTCCACCCAGACCCACTTACTCTCAAGCAGTGTCCCTTTTTACCCTCTGTATCACTGAGCACAAGCTGACATTACCTTTACCATTTCTGTGTTAGACTTTCTTTATTTCTTCTCTCTCTCTCTCTCTCTTCCTTTCCTTTCTCCCTCCCTCCCTCCTTTCTCTCTCTCTCTCTCTCT